CCAAAACCCCAAAACCCCAAAACCCCAAAACCCCATTCCAACACATTTGTGCTGAGCAATAAAATTAATAAAATATTATAAATGAACGTACTGTACCTCTACAAGAGGGATGAAGAGGATTCAGAGATTGAGGTGTATAGAAAGGAGAATTATTTCGCTGAAACTATGATCACAGCAGCAGGGGTTTATACTATGTACTGGTTCGAGAGTTTGAAGATACAGCTTAATGGTGAGTGCTAGGGTAATGCTTTAGTGGATTTAGAGGTGGTTTATAAGAATGCAGCCTATTGTCGTTGAAAGAAAATTTATAAGATACCTAAATAATAATCAGTATAATGTCTATATGACAAAGTATCTTAATGATCCTGCGCTAAGCTTTCCGAAGATGATGAAGCATATTGAGCGAGCGAATATTAACTGCTTGATGCTTATTAAGAATTATGAACCTAAGAGAAATGATATCAATAATGTAGTGCGATCAACTGTGAAGTTGATGTGTCACTCTCTTAACATACTCTTCATTGAGAGATTTTATGTGAAGAAAAGACAGTTTAATTTGATTATAAAAAAATTGCATCAAGTTAGATTTGTTTCTTTTGCCAGATGAGCTATTGAGTTTTCGCCCAGAAAGATTGAGTCAAAAATCAGGTCTAGATTTTCAAAAATATTGTTTGACCATGTCAATAATGTTCTTGAAGAAGATGAATTCTTAACATATAAACCAGTTCTAAATTTTTGCAGAGCCATTAGAGACTGTTCTCTTGCGTGGTCTTTAAGAAAATTTAAAGTATATCCAGGCTTCAATAGAAAGATGACCAATGAAATTTCAGAAGAATGCGACTTAGGACACGTCGATTTCATTACTTATGAAAAAAGCTCTCCAGGTTGGGATTATTTCTAAGTTGCTCAATAAAATACAAGATTCAAACTGTTCTCTAAATCTAATTTAACTCAAGCCAACTGCTTTACCTATTTTCCCAAAGCTTCTAGATAAAATTAACCCCTCAAACAAATAAGGTCATACTAATACTTCTGTATCACCCAAGCATATTTCTATATCTCATCCAGGCTGGGATGAGAGGGCATTAAGTCTAGTATCTTCAAAGACAAAAATCCTGACAGCTGAGGAATCCCCAAGCATTGCTTCTATCTTCTCACTTCAATTAGATTTACCCCTTATCAAACAAAATACCTCTTCTATACCTATTTTCCCTCCTCCAAAGCACCAAGCTTATAATAATCTAACGAAAAATAGTGGCTTTTAAACTTTGTGTTCATCTCTTAACAAATCATTTTCCAAAATAATGCACATTATTCGTATTTTAGAACAACTTTTGCATGGGCGCCATGCTTCTATTATAAGCCTAATTGTATTAGTGCTATTCAACAGTGTTTCTCTCTATCGGGGTTTTGGGGTTTTGGGGTTTTGGGGTTTTGGGG